AGAATGATTAAATTTGACGAGTATTGATTTTCAAAATACTGACAGTAGTCCAGTAGAATGATTGAATTTGACGAGTATTGATTTTAAAATACTGACAGTTAATTTAATCTATAGAAGCATCTTGATTATGTAACAACAGATCAAGCGGTAAAAAGACACAAATCTGGCATACTGGTCCTGAACACTACTTTTTTCTCAAGTTTTGTCAACTATTAGCTCAAATAAACATGGTTGGACGATCGATTAGGTACTTGTAAATTAGGGGTTAATTAGCAGCCACTGGCCTTCTTGATTGAAGTCATTTTGAGGATAGGATAAAGATCAGGAAGTACGTACCTTTGTAGTGCAGCGTCGATACTCCTGACTTGGGGGGTATATATCCTATACATGGTCCTATATATCGTTTAAGATCGATAATTTGTAAAGCAATGTTACTGAGCAAAACTATGTCTGGCGTTGTCAGAGAATGCCTCTTAACCACGTGACGGCAACCAGCTTCTTTATAGCGTCATCCGTATTGTGACGTCATCACTATTATGTTGCGTTTTAGCAATCGCTCGGGATTATTTCGGAGCGATCAGTTGGAAAGCATTCTTTTATACGAGATGAAACATTTAGTTTTAAGGTCAGCTCACCGACTCATATTTTGATTTGATAGATCGTAAAATAGATAAATAATATATTTCTATGGTAATATATAAAGGTGTTAGCAGTGTTTAATTTGGAAAATCAATCACGTGATGCCCGAAAATCAGAGGACGATAAGTACAATTGTCATTGATACTTTAGAACATCCTAAATAAAACAGTGGATACCACTTATTAACCAAGTAAAGCGAAACAAAAGTTTGTGGGACGTAAATGTGAAATTCAAAGAACGTTGTTGGTATTCCTCAAAATAGGAACAAGGACAATTTCACTGTTCAAAGGACGTATTTTATTGGTAAATATATAAAACTGACCAAACAAACATGTCCTCAAAATTGTCCGTTTCTATTTCGGTTATGTCAAAAACATTGACAGCTGGTGAGAATTAAGTTCTACACGAAAAGAAGTCTGTTTTCTGAGATTGTTGTTGACTGAAAACTTGGCATACGCTTCGGAGTTTGTATACGTATTTATGTAACCAATGTCACCTGAATGTGAATCAAATACATGCCAACGACGTGTTCCCTTGATACCTACCTCGGTTGATTTGGATTTCAACACACAGACAAAGCTATATCTGTACATTTACCGGTCTCGTTTCACATTCAAATTTAATTTTAAATTTAGTTTGTCGTATTCCAGTGGCATTTTACCGGTAGGTTATTAATTTCTGACCATTTTGATATCAATAATATAAAAAGTGAACAGTATTTGGCCGAATACCGGCATTATCTCTAGTATTTCGTTGTTCCCGTCCACTACTTATAGTATACCATACACGCCCTCATCCTCAAGAAATATCGTTACAGGACCACGCGCTGACAACAGGGCCCAACTAGATGTCGGAATATTACGGACATGCCGACAACAGAACCTAACTGGATGTCGGGATATTATGGACATGCTGACAACAGCACCTAACTAGATGTTGGTTTTTAAGGACACGCTGACAATATCCAAATAGTTTGCAGGTTATTTAGACATGTTGACGACAGGACCTAGTTTGTTACCAGGTTATACAGACATGCTGACAACAGAATCTAGTTTGTTGTCAGGTTATACAGACATGTTGACAACAGGACCTAGTTTGTTGTCAGGTAAAACAGACATGCTGACAACAGGACTTAGTTTGTTGTCAGGTAAAATGGATATACTGACAACAAGACCCTGGTTGGGTATTATGTTATACAGATATGCTGACAACAAGACCTGGTTGGGTTATGTTATACAGATAAGCTGACAACAGTACCTGGTTGGGTGTTATGTTATACAGATATGCTGACAACAGGACCTGGTTGGGTTATGTTATACAGATAAGCTGACAACAGTACCTGGTTGGGTGTTATGTTATACAGATATGCTGACAAGAAGACCTGGTTGGGTGTCATGTTATACTGATATGCTGACAACAAGACCTGGTTAGGTGTTATGTTATACAGATATACTGACAACAAGACCTGGTTGGGTATTATGTTATACTGATATAATGACAACAAGACCTGGTTGGGTATTATGTTATACAGATATACTGACAACAAGACCTGGTTGGGTATTATGTTATACTGATATGCTGACAACAAGACCTGGTTGGGTATTATGATGTACAGATATGCTGACAACAGGACCTGGTTGGGTGTTATGTTATACAGATATGCTGACAACAAGACCTGGTTGGGTATTATGTTATACAGATATGCTGACAACAAGACCTAGTTGGGTATTATGTTATACAGATTTGCTGGCAACAAGACCTGGTTGGGTGTAATGTTATACAGATATGCTGACAACAAGACCTGGTTGGGTATTATGTTATACAGATATAATGACAACAAGACCTGGTTGGGTATTATGTTTTACAGATATGCTGACAACAAGACCTGGTTGGGTATTATGTTATACAGATTTGCTGGCAACAAGACCTGGTTGGGTGTAATGTTATACAGATATGCTGACAACAAGACCTGGTTGGGTATAATGTTATACAGATATACTGACAACAAGACCTGGTTGGGTATTGTGTTATACAAATATGCTGACAACAGGACCTAGTTGGGTATTATGTTATACAGATATGCTGACAACAGGACCTGGTTGGGTGTTATGTTATACAGATATGCTGACAACAAGACCTGGTTGGGTATTGTGTTATACAGATATACTGACAACAAGACATGGTTAGGTTTTATGTTATACAGATATGCTGACAACAGGACCTGGTTGGGTGTTATGTTATACAGATATGCTGACAACAAGACCTGGTTGGGTATTGTGTTATACAGATATACTGACAACAAGACCTGGTTGGGTGTAATGTTATATAGATACGCTGACAACAAGACCTGGTTGGGTATTATGTTATACAGATATGCTAACAACAGGACCTGGTTGGATGTTATGTTATACTGATAAGCTGACAACAGTACCTGGGTACCTGGGTATTGTGTTATACTGATATGCTGACAACAGTACCTGGTTGGGTATTATGTTATACAGATATGCTGACAACAGGACTTGGTTGGGTATTATGTTATATAGATATGCTGACAACATGACTTATACGTTGTCTATACGTCGCAAACTTGCGACCGTCGTCTTTTAGATCAAGTTTATCAAAAACTAACTAAACTTTCTAGAATCATATTTGGTTGTTTGTTTAAGGTAATGACCTTGGCCCATATGCTAAGTTACAGGCGTCGAATTTGTTAAGACTTTTAAAAGACTTCACCTGCCCACAAATTGTTTGACTGAAGTTGTTCATAACAGTATCTATCAGTTGTAGACTCAACGTGCAGGATAAGCAGGCTAGATTGAAAGTTTATTTAATTAAGGATTGAATCTTGCTTATGTCGATTTCATGGGGTGATGAATTGAGTTGGTCTTGAGACAAACTTAATTCATGTTGAATTTGTCTCATGACCAACTCAATTCATCATCCCATGAACTCGACATAAGCGAGATTCAATCCTTATATTTCAATTCACGCTTCTTGTTTTCTATAGCATGGGAACTAACATAATTTATCTTCATTTTCGTTTCTTGTCATCATATCGTTTGACGTCATACAAGTAAATAGTCAGATAGATTATTGCGAAAGGTTGAAATATATTTCAGCGTGGTTACTTGATATTCAATTAAACTTAAATAATAACAAATTTAATATATTTTTCAACAACTTTAATGAAAATTTAAATAATACTGTGCAACAAAGACAGTTTGCATTTTTTCCCCACGGAGGAACAACGTCTAGACTTGGTGCGCCGGTTCGCAAACGTAGCGGTGTCGGCCTTTTTTTTTTTACAGGCATCGAAGCGGATAACAAGAAATATCAGGTTTCAGTCGCTTCACATCTTTTGAAACGCAAATTTACAGTTATTGAATATTGAATACAAAATTCTTCTAGTAGAAGTTGGAAGTTATCTGCCCTTACCTAATATTTGTATTGATACGCACTGGTCAAATTCATCGGTAAATGAAGCAGATCACATTTAGTAGTTTCATTGAGTCTGATTGGATAGAAATTGAAATATATACATTTAATATAGACTCACTTTCAATGTCAATAACCCATGCACTGAGGAAAAAAGTGTGAGCGATACAGAGTCATTAGGGCACTCGTGTTTTTGACATTTTTATACCCCAACAAGACTTTTTCGATGTAATGCATTATCCTGATTGCAAATATCTGTTGGTCGTGATCTTACAAACTCTTGTTTAATCAAGGAAGCAGCCGATGCTCTAAGTTATCCACTTAAAACTTAATTCAATCATTATGTTACTACCTGTATGTCCCATTCAGCATGGAAGAGCACCAATAATACTTCTATGTGCAAAGAGACAATCTGTCTAAACGCGGAATTGTCGTTCTATCCCTCTTTGATCGATCTTAGGCAAAATGACGATAATATACATATACTTATTTTACATTTTTTGTGTATGTATATATGTTTATAACTGTATAATGCAGTCCGTAATTTCTTCTTGCAATTCTGACTTCAGATCCAGTGACTCCATTGTGAATCAACCTGTATATCACGTTTGAATTTATTAGAATAGTGGCCCAGAATATACATATTTTTGACTTTGTAAGCTTTTTTGTGATGAACCCGTATATTTTAAACTCAATAGGACACCGAACAAAACAAGACTGAAATATACCTTTCAAAAGTTTTATTAAATATCATTTCAACAAGGTACAAGATATATATGAAACGGTATAACATTAAACAAGTCAAAAGTCGCTGAGTTAGACAAAAAGCCTCATCTTTTCTCAAGCGCGGAAAATGAATCTAAGTTTGATTATTTCCGTGCGTCGTCTTTATCTAGAAAGAGCTGTGTGAACAAAAGTCTTGGCTGTCACACCACCCTGAGGACTAGTCGAGTGTCACAAAATCCCCACTTCTTCTGACCAAACTGACCCTTCCTTGACCAGCCAAATGCTACTTCACCACCCATCACGGTCAACTTCTGTTTGAACGTTTGATCTGCAAGATAATGTACAATTTGATGTATTACCTGTATTTTAGTTAGTTTAATGTGACACGGCTTTATTGCCTTTGACAACGAAAACCTTGGAGTTTAGTATAAATACTAAATAAAAGTCTGCTTTATCTCATAACACAGTAACTATAAACAAAATTATATTTCAGAATAGATGCGTTCTCTTTTCACAGTGTATTGAGGAGATTGGATGAGAAATTGAAACCGTTTTATTCCTGAACACTGTATCAAACACAAAGTTAATGCAAAATGTACACTATATATTATTTTAAGTCCCATTGAATTTACATCCCGCATTTCATTTCGTTGTGTGATTTGTAATAAGTTTTATCTTATGTGAAAAATGTGTACTCTAATGGTCTTAAAGTCAACGAAAATAGATATCTGAGTATACCGCATAAAATAGAAAGGTCCAGATATTTCTAGAAGTATCTATTAAAAAGAACCCTATTCAAGAGCCACATTTATGAAATACCTAATGCAAACCTTGATCATGTTGTATACATATCATATCAAACATTTTTGACAAACAAGTTTGTAAATATTTCTCTAACAATGGTTGGTCTAACATGACGTGGATCAAGGTATTCTAAGAAACAACCTACCTTTTTTTAGCTTTAAAAACTCCGGTCCAGGTAAATGTTTCGATCCCACAGTTCTTAGGTAACGTCCGTTGTTCGTATTTCTATCTAAACCAGTGTCCATTTCTGTAATATAGGAAATGTTGATTTGTAAATAACATTCTCTGATTAAATTTGGAGGAGGACGCCAGATGGTTCTCATGACGAGATGTGTTCAATGTGTTTTCAAGCTTCTAATTAATTTCCCCCTTTAGATACCGGTCGTACAAGTTATCAAATAAAGCAAGGAAGAAGCTCCATTGTATAACCTTCATGTGAGATACTTTTTTAAGATATAAAGAAATACCGTTCTTTCACCCTTCATTTACCTTATTGTCTTAGGACGTTTTATTAGTCTCTAACGCTCAGAAATTTTGTAGGTCTATACAACTATATACCTACCATCATCCACACTCTGTAGTGATGGGGTTATGAAATCATTGTCCGCCATCTTGTGTTCCTGTAGCCTCCAAGACGTCATGCGACCCTTCGGTAATGGCTCCAAGAACCCAGTAGCCTCTATAATTTCCTATTGTAGGAACAAAAGTAACTTATAATTTACCAAGTCATTGACATATTCCTATAATTTGTCCATTCCAGGGTAAATAATTTACGCTAGTCATATCTGTAAGATGTTACATAAGATACATAAGTGGAGAAACCTTTCAATAACAAAAATTAGAATGGTGTAAGTAGAGTAAGACAATGAATTTACTGTATCATACAGCTGTTTCGTCCCTCTAGGATTTGTGAGTGATGCCAAGAGCCTAAAATTTGAAGCCTAGGGAGATGACTGAGGATAATAAAAATGCTCCAAAATAAAGGTCAAATGTGTTTCACTAGTCTCATAATTAATTAACTTTGATAATTTTCTGATTTTAAAAGAACGTCCATTACGTGCGTATGCACTGAACACTGGTTGGAATGAATTTAAACGTGACATGAAGATTACGGTAAAGCTCGGGGACTAAACGATACAATATAAAACCAGAGGCATATTCATATTCTGCAGATACCCTCGTTATTGCTGACCGCTTATGACGTTTACACTGCCTGTCTAATGAGTGAATTTTGTACCACAAGCTCTAAAGTTCAGAATGTTAAATATACTCACTTGGATATTCGGATATTCATATTCAACACTGCCATTCCGAAGCATATTGTCGGCCATTTCTCGTACATCGATGGTCTGTATATATGACTTTACTGACTGGTACCTGTGGTAAAATTAGAATCCATTAGGTTGTGTGTGAGAACAAATATGCATTTTTGACACGTTCGTTAATGAATATTTAAAATTAATCATTTCACTTTAACGTGTGTTAATTAATATTAAGATATAATAATCTTACTTTAAACAATGACATTCAGAATAACTTTGACAGAAAATACCGGTTATATCTTACGACTGACTGTAAAATATCATTTCTCTTCTACAGGTAACGTGTTTGTAAGTAGTTTAATTTTAGCACATTCTGTTACCTGTTCAAATCTATCTATAAACTTACCGAGCATTACTTCGGTTCAAGTCAACAAGGTCGATAGTCGTTGCCATCTTTTCCAAAGTTTCCTGGAATCTTCTTTCAATTTTCTCACACAAGATTTGATGGAGTTCGTGCTTGAGCTGAAACGAATTCAATACTAAGTGTTACTGGTTTTGATTTGACCACATTTCATTCGTTTGTTCATTAATCAGGTTTCATATTTTCAATTACTGCAAACTGTCTACGCCTTACGTATTTTGCTTTCCAGTAGCCTCATGATGCAGTTTATATTACAAAGGAAATATCTGGATTTCAATGAGGGCATTGGAATTGTCCTTTTAATTGCCAGAATTAATATATTTTTAAGCAGGATGACAATGATTATCATGAATTTACTTTGTCAAAGTGTATCAATTACCTCCTCCATATCAAGGCGAAGACGTCTCTCTTTGTACAACATATCCCGGAAGTTGTTCGTTGCGATGTTGTGGGCGTAAGTGGAACGTTCTACTTTCATTTTGTAATTCAACCATCTTCTCATCGTGTCGTCGTTGGAAACTTGGTCTTTTGTCAGCATTGCCATTTTCTTATCTTGTGCCCTCAGTAAGATTTTCCTTTTGGTCAGCTGATTGTATTTATCACGGCATTGCTGTCAACAGAATCATTTAAAATCACACGTTATATCTTTGATACACACATACTAGTTTTATGTGATCTATTTATTTATTGATTTATTAATTTATTGTACTTTCTGAAAAGACGATGTTTATCGTTTGAGAACTTTTCGTTACCTTCTTTGCATCGATGAACTTGAACCATAGCAATAAAAGTGGACCTATTCAATTCCATAATAAACATACTAAACCGCCGTAAGATACGCTTAATATGTAATTACATATTAAACGTACTTTACAACGATTGACAACTGGATTTGAAAACGTGACACGCAAAGAAAATTTTGTTCAATTTAACTCATCGTCCAAATGAGAATCCTCCATTATTTACATGTCTATGATATTTTCTGTTCATGCCATTATGAACCTAAACAGAAATGACTTGGGGTTATAGAGATATTGTGTAGTGTAATATGATACAATCACATGAAATCGTACTGTAGATACCTGTTGTAGCGCCCGGAGCTGGGGAAGTATGTCTTTGTGAGCAGATGCACGTTTGTTTAGTTCCGCAATCATCGAGTAGATGTCTTTCATTTCTGTTGAAGTAAACCTAAGAAAGAAAATAAAATAAACGAAAAAATGATTACCACTATACTATTGACGTTGACAAGTTATTGTAAAAAAAATTGGCGAAATCTAGCGTTGAGAAGGAAAAACGATTGCAAACAATCCAGAGAACAGGGTGTTACAGACCGGAGAAAACATATTAGGATAGATGTGTAGAAGGATCGACTTTTCGTCATATATTGTAAATTGTTTTGTCTTCCTAAATATTACATATGTATTTGTAACGTCATTTTCTTATTTCTCTGGCTCGTCGTTTTCGCGGTATAAACTAGGAACGCATTGTTCATAGAAATATCTTTATATTCGATAACTCGTTACAATAACGTTATCGATATCGACGAGTACTCTGCTTACCTAGAACTTTTACTGAAAATGTTACATCCACATTATATGTATGTTTTAAAAGAAGACACCAAATAAGATACAAGTAGGATAGATGTATTTTGTAAAATTATAACTTATACGTATTTTTTTTATACATACGTGCAGCTGGAATTCTTGTTCATTACACAACTTCTGCCTGTTGACGTCACAGCGGTGCACGCTATGAAAGCGACGTCTTTGAGTATTTCAACGATGTCATGAATTCCTGTTAAAAATCAGTTTTATCAGAAAGCGACGAAATCATTGCTGTGTCAACATAAGATATGAAATGAATTACAACATGAGGTTTTGAAGAAATAACATTTTGCACATAAGACAAGAATCTCACAGGAGACCATCACAATCTGAAACTAAAAATGACCGCGAGACAGTGTTATTTCTGAAGTGTTCCACACAACAATACATCCACAAATTGTATCCTGTTAAGTAACTTATCCATACGTCATTGTATTATCATACATTATACCATAATACAGTATGTAATGTATATTTACCGGTAAAAGCAGACTTCTCGGCGTATGCAATACTTCGTAAAACATAAATAGGGTACGGAATATCAAAAAACGTCACTGGTGTAGTCACGTGACCCATAATCATATCTGTGTATCTGTGCATCCAGTCCACACTATATCCAAGCAAGAAAAAAGTCAGTTCAGTGCGTGTATATGATTTTACATACGGTAATCATCCATAATAACATAGTAGAAATCAAAGTTTATTCCGCCTTAGGATTTCTTGTACGTCTGTGGTTTTCATCTCTTCAGTCCACACTATATTCATAACACAGAAAAAAAAATATCAGTTCAGTCTCCTAATGTTCCCTAATTAAAAGGAATCGGAGAAGCCATCTCCGACAGGGAGTTCCCATCAATTAATTGCGACCTACGACATGCAGTGAGATAAGGTAGGAATCTTCTCTCCTCGATTCCCTGCATTAATCCTGAGTCTAAGGCAGGCATAATCAGCCACGAACGAAGATACCGTTGTATAACATATTCGTAACACTTTAATGGTTTTCAACTGACAGTGGTCCTGTGGAATGATTTAATTTGACGAGTATTGATTTTAAGATACTGACAGTAGTCCAGTAGAATGATTAAATTTGACGAGTATTGATTTTCAACGACTGACAGTAGTCCTGTGGAATGATTAAATTTGACGAGTATTGATTTTTAAAATACTGACAGTAGTCTAGTAGAATGATTGAATTTGACGAGTAATGATTATAAAATACTGACAGTTAATTTAATCTATAGAAGCATCTTGATTATGCAACAACAGATCAAGCGGTAAAAAGACACAAATCTGGCGTACTGGTCCTGAACACTACATTTTTTATCAAATTTTGTCAACTATTAGCTCAAATGAACATGATTGGACGATCGATTTGGTACCTTTAGATTAGGGGTTAATTAGCAGCCACTGGCCTTCTTGATTGAAGTAATTTTGAGGATAGGATAAAGATCAGGAAGTACGTACCTTTGTAGTGCAGCGTCGATACTCTTGACTTGGGGGATATATATCCTATACATGGTTTTATATATCGTTTAAGATCGATAATTTGTAAAGCAATGTTACTGAGCAAAACTATGTCTGGCGTTGTCAGAGAATGCCTCTTAACCACGTGACGGCAACCAGCTTCTTTATAGCGTCATCCGTATTGTGACGTCATCATTATTATGTTGCATTTTAGCAATCGCTCGGGATTATTTCGGAGCGATCAGTTGGAAAGCATTCTTTTATACGAGATGAAACATTTAGTTTTAAGATCAGCTCACTGACTCGTATTTTGATTTGATAGATCGTAAAATAGATAAATGATATATTTCTTTGGTAATATATAAAGGTGTTAGCAGTGTTTAATTTGGAAAATCAATCACGTGATGCCAAAATGTCAGAAGACGATAAGTACCATTTCTCAGTCCTTCTGTAACTACAGAAACGCCATTGATACTTTAGAACATCCTAAATAAAACAGTGGATACTACGTATTAACCAAGTAAAGCGAAACAAAAGTTTGTGGGACATAAATGTGAAATTCAAAGAACATTGTTGGTACTCCTCAAAATAGGAACAAGGACAATTTCACTGTTCAAAGGACGTATTTTATTGGTAAATACATAAAACTGACCAAACAAACATGTCCTCAAAATTGTCCGTTCTAATTTCGGTTATGTCAAAAATATTGACAGCTGATGTGAATTAAGTACTACACGAAAAGAAGTCTGTTTTCTGAGATTGTTGTTGACTGAAAACTTGGCATACGCTTCGGAGTTTGTATACGTATTTATGTAACCAATGTCACCTGAATGTGAATCAAATACATGCCAACGACGTGTTCCCTTGATACCTACCTGGGTTGATTTGGATTTCAACACACAGACAAAGCTATATCGGTACATTCACCGGTCTCGTTTCACATTCAAAGAGAGCAACATGTGTGTAAATTTAGTTTGTCGTATTCAAGTGGCGTTTTACTTGTAGGTTATTAATTTCTGACCATTTTGATACCAATAATGTAAAAAGTGAACAGTATTTGGCCGAATACCGGCATTATCTCTAGTATTTCGTTGTTCCCGTTTACTACTTATAGTATACCATACACGCCCTCATCCTCAAGAAATATCGTTACAGGACTACGTGCTGACAACAGGCCCAATTGGATGTCGGGATATTACGGACATGCTGATAATAGGACCTAACTGGATTTCGGGATATTATGGACATGGCGACAACAGAACCTGGTTTGTTGTCAGGTAAAACAGACATGCTGACAACAGAATCTAGTTTGTTGTCAGGTTATACAGACATGCTGACAACAGAACTTAGTTTGTTGTCAGGTTATACAGACATCCTGACAACAGAACCTAGATTGTTGTCAGGTAAAACAGACATACTGACAACAGAACACAGATTTTTGTCAGGTAATACCGACATCCTGACAACAGAACCTAGATTGGTGTCAGGTAAAACAGACATGTTGACAACAGAACCTGGTTTGTTGTCTGGTAAAACAGACATGCTGACAACAGAACCTAGATTGGTGTCAGGTAAAACAGACATACTGACAACAGAACCTAGTTTGATGTCAGGTTATACAGACATGCTGACAACTGAACCTGGTTTGTTGTCTGGTGAAACAGACATGCTGACGACAGGACCTAGTTTGTTGTCTGGTGAAACAGACATGCTGACGACAGGACCTAGTTTGTTGTCAGGTAAAACAGACATGTTGACAACAGAACATAGTTTGTTGTCAGGTTATAAAGACATGCTGACAACTGACCCTGGTTTGTTGTCTGGTAAAACAGACATGCTGACGACAGGACCTAGTTTGTTGTCTGGTGAAACAGACATGCTGACGACAGGACCTAGTTTGTTGTCAGGTAAAACAGACATGTTGGCAACAGAACATAGTTTGTTGTCAGGTTATACAGACATGATGACAACAGAACCTAGTTCGTTGTCTGGTTATACAGACATGCTGACAAAAGAACCTAGTTTGTTTCCAGGTTATACAGACATGCTGACAACAGAACCTAGTTTGTTTCCAGGTTATACAGACATGCTGATAACAGAATCTAGTTTGTCACCAGGTTAAACAGACATGCTGACAACAGAACCTAGTTTGTCGTCAGGTTATACAGACATGCTGACAACAGAACCTAGTTTGTTGTCAGGTAAAACAGACATGCTGACAAGAGAACCTAGCTGGTTATACAGATAGGCTTTATTAAAACTAAAATAACAACGAAGACGTATTTATAAAGTTATGCAATGAACGGCTAGGGAAATATGATTCTTTATCTGTCACCCAAACATTATTCATGTTGACTTCCACCTAGTAACAGTTCATTGTTTATCATTACAGTCAATCTGAAACATAAATTGAGTTTAGATTTGCCGCTAACCAAATTCTGAAGTCATATTTAAATCCGAGAGCGGTCGAAATAATTAAGTTTCTCGTGTCATCTAAACCAACAATTGTATGAACTAACATTATCACAAATGTACAGCTAAAAGCTAACTTGATTTCTTTGTATAAAAATGTAAATATATTGCATAATTCTTCATAACTATAGCATTTATTTATTTTCCTTGCTTGGAATAGAAGTCAGTTAACTAAATAATCTAATAGAAAAGGGATATGGCTCCCAATCAGATTGTACGGACCGACATGTCTAGTATTTCTTCGGGAATATGTTCATTTTCGTTTGTGGATTTCTGTGATTTTAAAAAAAAAAATAACTAAATGGATGTCCCTCCTGTCAATAAGTATCGTAACAGATTCCATGCGTGGACTGTCAGATTGGTGTCTAGCGATCTGATAATCTAGTGTGTCATGATGAAATTTTGTTGCAAGTTGCGTGCTACATGAAGGCCTCTAAGGAAAGCCTAACAACTCGGGATATGGTAATATAATGTATACCGACTTTCAGCAGACTTGGTATCTTAAAAATTCAAGTCGTTACATTTAGTACCGAAAACTAGAGCGACAAAAGGTAAGCCAGACGAACTGAGAAGTCGAAACAATTAACAGAAGTCAAAACTCTTTACAGGAGTTAAATGCATACTTTCCAGGGTCGACTGAAACATTTTGTCATTGTTTGTCTATGTTTTCCCTTTAACTGCGTCACGTAGCCGCCACCTTCCATAATCGTATGATGTTAAAGGATTACATGATTATATCATAAAGCTGGATTATGTCCTTTCTTGAGCCGAGTTAGTTTATGGTTGACGTGTTGCCGGGCACTTTTCTGCTACTAAACTAAATGTATTATGTATTGACCAAGACAGTCGTAAAAGTATTCTGATAAATAATCCCTTGTCCTTTGTTAATGTGTCATGTATAGTCATCCCGTCATTTTCTTTTTGTTTCGAATAGTTTGAAGGATCCGGTAATTTTTGCGGCATTTAAATCAATATGATTAGTTTATTGTTGTTTCCGTCCTATTAACAGCCAGGGTCATTTAAGGACGTGCCAGGTTGGATGGATGGTGGAGGAAAACTTCTAGTTCCCGGAGAAAAAAAAAAAAAAAACACCAATCTGCGGCAAGTACCTGGTGACTGCCCCACTTAGGCCTTGAATCGGCGATCCAGAGGTGGAGGGCTAGTGATAAAGACGGCCATACGCATTAAATGC